CAGTCTGTGGTCATTTGAATATTACTTGTTAGTACACTCGTTCCCTTCGAGCCCCTCGTTACAGACAAGAAGACACATCGAGAGAGGTTCGATACCTGGCCAAAAGCCACAGAGCTTTTCAGCGGATCCACTCCATTCTAAAGGTCATGTTCGTTTTACCGTGATGCAAAAAACGCCATGGTGTATCGAAACGGGAGAGGTGTGGGCAAGTTCAACAGGGACGTGTTCACTAAGTTTCCTACCTGTTTCAACCAGTTGTGATTTCAAGAGCTAGAAAGAGGTGGTTTTAAGATAAACAAAAGGACGCGTTGCTCTTATGTTGGGACAGGGTAAGGCACAGACACGGACATGTATTATTATGACAAATTGTATAAACTGTAAAAGGGAAGATGTTACAAAAGAGTTAGTAAAATTACAGGGGAGAGCTCCCTTCCAAGTCAGGGAAAGACTGGATTTCTGTTTCTTCCTAACCCAGGCACATGACATCACACAGGTGCCCCTAAACTCAGCCAATAAGATCGGCCAAAAAAAAAAAAAAAAAAAGATCGGCCAACACCCTCAACCACGCCTCCCCAGCCAGTGGGGATAAAAGCCAGCCACAGGCAGGCCTCGGCCTCTCTTCTCCCATTTAGGTGCACGCAGCAAGCTGCGGGTAAGATTCCTCCCGACTTCCAGAACTCACCTGCACTGTACTACCTGATACTTCCCTTACCCTCATACAAGTCACTTGGATTTTCAAAAGTGCTTCTGCTGGGTGAATTCTCTCAGCGTTGAGAAGCAGGAACTGAGGTCAACCACCCCAGAAGCCTAACATTACCCTGTCGTTGTCGATACTTTATGCCAATTGACCTTGCTGTCGCCTGTGACTCAGCAGAAAACCTTTCTTCAGGTCCCAGGGAAGCTTGACATTACGTCAACATGTCTAAAAGCATGCCCATCATTCCCGCCCCGTTCAAACCTTCTCTCAGCTTGCTTGATTTGGTCAGTGAGATGTCAGTTAAGTCCACCTGGAAAAAGCACACCGTCATCAGTCACCGAAGGGTTGTGAAGCATAGGATCCTGTCGAAGGAGGGATTAGTATCAGCCTAAAGGCTGAGCATCTGGTTTGCAGAAGGCTATGGATGACAGTGGGAGCCCAAGGGTCACTGGTGGAACTAGATAGGAAATAAACTCCACAGTTGAGGCACAGGAGGAAAGAGGTCACTCAACGGAGTGCATCTGTGAGCTGAGTACAGAAAGCCAAGGATAAACCTGCCTTGAACAGTGAAAACCTGTCAGCAGACCCCGCGATGGTGCCTGCTAGCTGGACCTGGTCTGTTTCCAAAGTCTATGCTTTGGGGGTTTGTACTGTTTTGTTTGGGTTTTGATTGTACATATTAGGGGACATCTTGGGAGTGTTATGTCACTGTGGTGGGTGGGATCACCCTCTTGAAATTGCGGTCTATGTTTTTCTGTTTTTTCAGGGCATGGAAACCAGGACTGATGAGCCTGTAGGGTCAGCAAGTGGAATAAGGGTTTTGCGGGGAGGGGGACCCAGAGGTGGTAGCAGGGTGAAGGGATGATGATGTCAAGGGATCCATCTAGAAAAAGAATGTTTGGGAAGTGATTGTGGAAGCAACTGTACAATTCTGCTGGACATGAGTGAACGATGGAATGATTTGATATATGTATTAATCCCAGTTAATTAAAAAGAAGACTGTGGAAAACTGAGAACCATGAAGA